CTGCGCAGCAAATAACTTTCCTTTAAAAAAATTTAGCCTAAGAAGTTCAGATAGTTTTTTAAAGAAATTATTTGACTTATTTAAGCCATAGGTTAGAGACAAACGTTTTTAGTGGCACTTTGGTAAAGCCAGATGACCTGGGTCCAAATCCTGTTGTTCCCCCTTACTAACTGTGCAACTTTGGACCAGTTACCCAATTTCTCTGCGCCTCAGTTTCTTAAAATATGAAAATGGAAAATCAAATATCTACTTAGTAAGTTAATCCAGTTAATCAACATTCTCCTGCTGTATTAAGTGAATTAATATACACGCAACACAAACAACAATGATCGATTTATAGTAAAGTGCTATGTAACTGCCGGCTATTATTATTAGTGCATGTTTAATCACCTAAGGAAGTTATTTTTTAATCCTTATAGTTTAATATTAATCATCTAACACTCCTTCATTCTTTTTCAAATAGTTCATACTATGTATTTACTGACCGGTGAAGCCTTCAGAGAGAACAAGTATGTATAAAGTGCTTGTATTTGTATGGACTAAATACCTCAGATAGGAAGGCACAAAATAAATTTGGGAAAACTAAAATACGAGGTTTAATAGATTGAAATGGGCTTGGAAGACACAAAGGAAAGAAAAAGAAACACAAAACTACAAAAGAAAAACATAAAAATTGGGTTTTCTAAAGCGAGGAAAAGATGCATTTGTGAAACTTTTCTGTAAAATTTGTTCTTTTGCTGTTTGCTGAAATTGCTTCCTATTCCTTGTCTAAATACGATGTCACACACCACACAGAATGTAAGGGATGTATAACCCTTAAATAAGACGATCATTCCCAGCTCAAAGGGCTTAGAGACTTGACTGACCACCACTACGATACGTAATTCTACTAGCAAAAATTCTGTTGATCTTACAAAAACTTTGACCCTCTTGGATTTGCTGTATTATACTAATGGCACAAAACTGTGGTAATATTTTCATCTAGTTCTATGAGGAAATATTTGTTCACATCTCCCTTTACAGATGATGATTCATTTTTTGCTCATAGTTTCTGCTAAGATCCGGCATTAAAATACCTGCATGAGCTTGAAATGTCTCTCTAAACAAGGCTTCGCTCGTAAGCCACAGAGCATGAAACACTGTCCTATCAAAGCACGTCACCACAAGGTGCAGTAAATGTGGACTGATGGAAGCAGCAAAGGACTGGCAGTCAGAAACCTAGGTGTGAGTTCTAATTCCGCTACTATCTAGCTGTTTCAGCTTATAAAAAGGAAAATGTCTTTCTCTAGAAACAAGCTCTCTCCAGTTTACTGCTGCTAAATTTGTTTTGGGGGAAGAGGGTCTCACACCCTTTAGTGAGTCTGATGAAGCCACATATCTTTTCCTCAATAAAAATTAAGACAACCCACACATTTTTTGCAAACAATCAGGGGCTTCAAGTAATCGCTGAAGTCCACGTATCCCAAGTTAAGAACCTCTGTACGAGATTACTACAATGGGTCCTGCTGATTTAACATAAAAAACGCCATTTACTCACTCTTTCTCTTGTTCTCTCTCACACAGATACGCTTCACAGTCTTGCTCTTCAATCTGTAAATATACCACTGCTGACAAGCTCATGCTTATAAAAGTGTAAAAGAAAGAAAATTTTATCTTCACTGGTAAAAGGAAAGTATTTTCCCCCTTAGGCATGTGCACTAGCCAGGAGGTTTTAGATGTGTATCCCGACAAGCTAGATATCCAAATTCGTGATTTTCTCTATTGCATTATTGTCCTCAAAATCCTCAAGTTGAGTTACAGTGGGTTAAACCTCTCAGAGAAATCTAAAAATCAAAGTATTTCTTGTATCGTTTATCTAGGGTCTAATAAAATAAGCACTATCACAGCTACCCCAAATGAAGATTAGGTTCTGATAAGGATTTAATTGTCCACATATACTCACAGCCACACTGGGGAAAGCAGGAGTTGCATCTTTGCCAAAGTCTCAGCTGTTGTAATTAAGACAGACCCTTAGGAGCAGCTATCATTAGTTTCAAAGAGCAGTAATTACAAAGACTTTGCATTATGTGGATTATACATTCCAAGGATATAGAGTTGCTACCAGACTTCAGGGACTATCTTAATAAGCAAAGTTGCTCATTAAGGCAATCATCAAATTTACTCTATACATGAGTTTAAAATTTTCTGAACTTTGCTCAGTTTATTACCCAGCTTCACCTCACCTTGTAAAATATCGCTATCTCTGAAAAGTTAATTTCTGACAATCTTAGTCTACTAGACTAACTTTTATAAAACTGAAATTACTACAAAGCAAAAATAAATCACCTTATAATATCACTTATAAATCCATCAAATCAACGAATAAAATACTGGTGTTCTGGAAATATTTGTTCAAATGAGCAAAAAAAAAGTTCCTTTTCAAAAATAAGGATAAGTAACAAAATATGAATAGAAAAAAGATAAGTTTTAGAGGAAAACTAATCCCAACTGTGCAACACATGCAGGGTTTGCAGAGTTAATCAGATTCTATCACATCTAACAGGATGACATGCAGGCACTTCAAATTCCCTAAATCACCCTTCATGAAAGCAAAAATATTTCGAAATAAATGAGAGAGGAAAGAGAAACACAGCAAAAGAAGACCAAAGCAATACATTTACCAAACATCATAATTGCCGATTTTCTAAAATTAATCTTTGGATATTGTAGAATGGTGATGGTTTTCCCTAATTTAAAAATTTTGCAATCAAGGTACATTATGTCATCCTTCATTATAATAAAACATAACTTTATAGTTTGAAGGGGACCAAGTACAGTCGTTGGTAAACTGAGAGGAAGTGATGATCCTCAGGTCACTTGCAATTGAGTAAAGGTACTACAATATTTTATTAATAAAAGTACTATTATTTTACTGGTTGTATAAAACATTCTTTAAATTGAGAGGCAACTGACATAGAGCATCAAATTACTTTCAGGCAAACAACGCAATGATTCCATATGCATATAGTGGGAAATGAAAAAACATTTTTAATGTATTAAACTACAAAATATGGCTGAAATATATACTAAATTTGAAATTATCACTAGCCACTAGAGTTAAAATTTCAGAAAATGTAAATAAAAGTTAGTTTTCCTATTGGTCAACAACTGACCTCTACAGATAATTCATTATTTTTCCCTAGTGATATGAATTTTCCAACAAATTTTTAAAAAGAAAAGGTGCATGGGTTTTCAAGACGCTCAGGCATTGTCTCCAAAATTCTGACATCTTTATGATTAAGTAACGTTCAGATTTTTAAAGATCTGACCAATAAGGTAAAGACAGACTTTTCTTTTAATTAGAGGCTTTTAAGAAGTAAGGAAATAGCATTGAAAATCTCTCTAAATACTCATTTCACTCCTCCAGTCCCCTTGGCCTCACCTCAAAAGTTAAAATATATTCTCCTTTCCAATCAGCAAAGATATATTCTGAATGAAGCCTAAAACCTTTTTAGAACGTTTAATAAATAAAATTACTTTCTAAATGTGAACTCGGTGACACTTTTCTTAAAGCTTGTACCATTTTTACTCTGTCTACACATACACACAACACACAATTAGCAAAAAGGAAATTAAAAAACGTAAGCAAATTATAATTTTGTGTCCCTTTGACTTTATACTCTGAAATAGTCCCATATTCACCTGTCACTCCAAAAAGCAAACAACGCACTTACGGTGTTGGCATGCTTCACGTTGCACGTGGAGCCCACAATTTTTAAAACTTGAGGGGAACTGTTATCTTTTAAAACCTTGGAGTTACCAATCACCCTCGACCTTTCCACTTTCTGTATTATCATTACTAAATAGTTTCTTCCACTCAGCCACCACGGCGGCCACGTATCTCAAGCGGAATAGTCTATAAATAAATGGAATAAACTCAACCACAAGCGTGGAAAGGATGGAAACTGCCTTCAAAGATCTGAGCGGGGACGGACGTAGGAAGCGGCTCATATTAAACTACCTGACGCTCGGGGACTTTTTCTGCACCTACATCACTGTAGGACCCGCAAAGTTTCAAGATGTTCAAAGAGCTGAATCCAGCAGTCAGGAATCACCAAGGCGAAGCAGCCTCGCAAAACCTCCACCCAGCCTTACAACGGCCGGAGCGCACGGACACGCGGCGGCCGCACCTCTGCGCGCAAGTCCGCCCGCCCCGTTGGCCGTCGGAGGACACTCACCTCGGGTACCCCTCGCCGGAGCCCGAGCGCCCTCCACGCCCCGCTCCCGAGCCGCCCTCGCCTACCCGAGCGCCGCCGACTCCACCGGCTCCTGCAGCGAGACGGCGGGCGGGCGGCCGGCGCCGGCGGGCATCGTCCGAGCGCAGGCTCCGCTCGGCGGCCACGCGGCGCGCGGACGGCCTGGGTGGCCCGGGGAGGTCAGCGCCTCGCGGCGTCGCGGGAGCGGCCGTCACCCGGGCGGCGTTCCTGGCCTCCACGCTCTAGAGCCGCGGGTCGTGCGTGAGCCCGAAGTGGCGCCCCGACGAAGCCACGCCTACCCCCGGGAGACCGCACCCGGGCGTCCCGGAACCAACGCGAATCGAACGCTCGACGCGCCCGCTCGGGGCAGCGGCCACGGAGGATTCGGATGCTCCCTTGTGCGTTCGGGCCGCTGAGAACTGAGGGTTAGGGGAGGGGCGGTCACACGTCCAAGCTGGAAGGCTGCCCCTCCCGGTGTCTCGATGTCCCCGGCTCCTAACGGAGGCAGCAGGCTACCTCAGTGGCTCCTGGCACGGGGTGGGGGGGATGAGGAGCATTAGCTCATCTGAGAAAAGCCAGCATTTCACGTCCTGTCGGGGCGCCAGGCCCCTCGGAGGCTCACCTTGGGGCCCACGTTAAAAATCCCTGAAACTTCATGATAATTAACATTCTTTCCCTCTTTAATTCACCGAGAACCCCGCCAGCTTCTAAACCGCCTCCCCTCATCCGCTACATTCCCCATAAACCTTGAGCCGCCTTCTTTACCCAGTCAGCTCCTCAGAAGGTAAGTCTTCACGGGAGAAGCAGCCTCTCCCACAGGTCCCCCAAGAAACTTCACGAACAAAGCTGCGATCCCGATGCACGTGCACTTGCGGAGGCTTCTGAGCCAGGAAAACGTCGCGTCTGCGCCTGCGCAATGGGCGGAGCAAGAGGCCCTCCGGGGGACGCCGGGAGCGACGCCGATTCGGGGCTGGGTAGGAGGACTGCGTAGAGGGGTTCCGCTTCCTAGAGTCGAATGTGTGTTCAGTTCGTAGTACGTTTACACATAGTAGGCCCTCAACAAACATTTGTTCAATGACTAAATAAATGGCATGTACGTGCTACCGGCTTCTTTTTGACTCAGATGGAGGTCTGGGTTCTTTTCCCTAAACTGAACGGAGTGGGCCTTGCTTAAGAAAGCCTCCAGGCATCCTCAGTTCTTATGAAGGGGCTATTCTGGGACATTTTCAATGACTTTATAATTCGATTTAAAACGTTTTGAAAGGGGCCCGGCTGATGGTGTAGCAGTTAAATTCGCACACCCCATTTAGGCAGCCCTGGGTTTGCTGTTCTGATCAAGCCATGCTGTGGCGGCATCCCGTAAACAAACAGAGGAAGATCGGCGCGGATTTAGCTCAGGAATGATCTTCCTCAAGCAAAAAGAGGAGGATTGGCATGGATGATAGCTCAAAAGTTTTGAAATGACTTTATATGTTCTGCAGCGAGTGGCCAGCTGTCTTAGCTAAGGCTTGAGCTTGGCGGTGGCAAAAACATCACAATAAGTTTTGGGGATCTAAAATATCAAGACTTTTAAGACTCCTTGCATTCAGAAAATTAATTCTTTATAGCATGGCGTATGATTCAAGGGCTATGTAGATCATAGCATCCAGGTTCTTCACTCTGGTCACTTAGATTTAATTTCAGGATTGCAGGCCTGAAGCATCCTTCACTATTTATGGGTAAAAATACTGGTACAGGGAACCCAAATGATGCACTGTTCCATTTCCCAGTAATCATTTATTATAAGGCAAATTTTAAATGTATTTTATAGTTTGAAAGCAGCATGGCTTGAGATACTTTTTGTGTATGTGTGAGGAAGATTGGGCCTGAGCTAACGTCTGTGCCAATCTCCCTTAATTTTATGTAGGATGCCATCACAGTGTGGCTTGAGGAGCAGTGCTAGGTTGGCACCTGGGATCTGAACCTGCGAATCCCAGACCACCACAGAAGCTGGGCTCATGAACGTAACCACTATGCCACCAGGCTGGCCCTTGAGATAGATACTTTTAAAAAGTTCACTCCACAGCAAGGTTTTTATTTGTCGGTTCGTTTGTTTTAACTTGGATTGAAATGTTAAATGTTAAATTATGTATGCTGTAATGAATACTGTCATAGAAAAAAATTGTTAATTGCAAAGCCCTTAGTCTGCAGAAAATGGGTCCATCAATTACCAGGCAAAATTAAACTTGGTTCTTCCTTAAACTTTTAATTTAATTTAATTTATTATTTTTTTTGAAGAAGAAGATCAGCCCCGAGCTAGCATCTGCTTCCAGTCTTCCTCTTTTTGCTGAGGAAGACTGGCCCTGAGCTCACATCCGTGCCCATCTTTCTCTACTTTATATGTGGTATGCCTACCACAGCATGGCTTGCCAAGTGGTGCCATGTCCGCACCCAGGATCCAAATCGGTGAACTCTGGGCCACCGAAGCGGAACGTGTGCACTTAATGTCTGCACCACTGGGCTGGCGCCTTCCTTAAACTTTTAAATCCACTCTATAAATCTTATTTCATTTAAAAATGTAGTAAGTTATAATAATTACTTTAAAGGGCATTTGCTAAACATTTGGTCCCATTTATAAACTTGGATAATTGAACTTATTTTTTGAATTGCACTTGCAAATTTAACATATTCAGTGTTCTTTGGCTATGTACTAATTGTCTGACAAATTTTCCCAAGTATTAAATAATTTTTATAATGCCAAAAAAATTAAACTTATAAGTATGGTGAATCTTATAATCTTTTAAGTGTTCTGACACTGTAAGCTTAAGACATTTAAGATAAATATGTATATAAAGAGATTTATTATAAGGAATTGGTTCATGCGATTATAGAGCCCGACACATCTCAAGATCTGCAGTCTACAAGCTGGAGATTCAGGAGCCAATGGTGTAGTTCTGGTTCCAAAGGTGGCAGGCTCAAGACCCAAGAAGAGTCAACGTTTCAGTTCTAGTCTGAAGACAGGAAAAGACCCATGTCTGAGCTCAAGGTAGTCAGGCAAGAGAAGTTCCTTCTTACTCAGGTTTTTAGTTCTATTTAGGTCTACATTTGTGTAGATGAGGCCCACTCCTGTTAGGAAGGCCAATCGGCGTTCCTCAGTCTACTGATGCAAATGTTAATCTCATCCGGAAACATCCTCACAGACGGATCCAGAATGTTTGACCAAATGTCTGCACACCCGAGGCCCAGTCAAGTTGACACATGAAATTAATCATCACAACTCTACTCTTTGTCAACTTGACACCCATACTTATCTCCATAAATCATGCTTAATTCCCAAATAAAGACAATAGTGAGGTCATAATTCCACTTAAGATGATACAACTATCCTGCGTACATCTGAAAATGCACTAATCCCTTCCCCAGGAAAGGAAGTAAAGTCCTTGAGGGATATTTACTCTTCTCCTGATATCCTGTAGCTTAAATAATACTATGTAAAATTTAAAAAACTTTAATACTATGATAGAAAGTCAGTGTATCTTATGTTACATGATAAAGCAACAAAGGAGGGATGAAAGCAAAGATATTTGCTTATTATGTATTAATATATATACATATATGCACATATGAGACATTCATAAAAAATAAAGAGAAAATACTCCCAACAATTATAATTCTTGTTTCTGTAACTGGCCACATGGTCATAGCTGGTATTTATAATTATCTTCTTCAACTACCCACTCGGTATTCCCTTTGCCTTCAGCAAGCACCTCAGCGGTTCATGATTCATTACCTAGTGGAGTGACCCAAACATTCATTCCTGAAGGGTCTGGGCCATCAGCAGTCATGCCTGGATTGCGTTGTTGTAGTTTTCCATTGACTTTAATCACAGGGCATGGTAATACTGAGAGATGCCATAAGGGATCTCCTGTATGCCTGACATACTCTTCCTTACCTCCGTCATGGAGTAAGCAGTCCAGTTTCCTCTTGGTAGTCAGGATCAATCGCCCCAGCCTGCATAGTAATTCCCTTCTTTACTTCTTGATTCTGAGGCATGAGAAGCCCAAAATAGTTGGTTGGCAGTCTTAACTTCTAGTTGAATAGAATCACTATTGTGTCTCTTGAAAACACTCCTCCCTTTGGAACTATGACCTCTAGGTAAGCAGCCCATAGAGTGACAAGAACAGGAAGCAAAAATTTTGCTAGTGGGTCACTAGGGGTAATAATGATGGTGCCACTCCCACTTCTGCCTCTTGATTGCCGGATCCGGGAATCTTGGCTATCACAGAAACAGCATACCATGTATTAGAAGCTGATTCGGAGCATATACAGCCTTCTGGAGAACCTTGCCCCAGCCATGCAAAGTATTGACAGGTGGCTGGCTCCGTAATTGAATCTTCAAAAGGCCATTCTACTGTTCTGTTGAGCCAGGTACTTCAGAATGGTGGGGAACATGGTAAGACCAATGAATTCCATGAGCGTGGGCCCATTGCTGCATTTCGTTTGCTGTGAAGTGAATTCCTTGATCAGAAGCAATGCTGTGTGGCTTGTATAAAACATTTTATATTGATAAATCTATTTTAAGCTGATAACAACTTAAGTTCAAATGCATACTAAAGCTCTACATTTTTATTTTCCCCTCTCCCCCATGTTTTGTGTTTTTGATGTCACAATTTACATCTTTTTATGTATCCATTAACAAATTACTGTAGTTATAATTGTTTTACTACTTTTGTCTTTTAACCTTCTTACTAGATTTACAAATGATTTAACCACAACCATTACAAGATTGGAGTATTCTGAATTTAACTGTGTATTTATCTTTACCAGTGAGATTTATGCTTTCATATGTTTTCTTGTTATTAATTAGCACCCTTTTTTTTCAGCTTGAAGAAGTCCTTTTAACATTTCTTGTAAGGCCAGACTAGAGGTGATGAACTCCTTCAGCTTTTGCTTGTCTGAAAAACTCTTTATCTCTTTTTCAATTCTGAAGGACAGCTTTGCTGGATAGAGTATTCTCAGTTGACAGATTTTTTCCTTTGGCACTTTGACTATATGCCACTCTCTTTTGGTTTGCAAAGTTTCTGCTGAAAAATATGCTGAAGTCTAATGGGGATTCCCTTTAGAATGAGTTGTTTTCCTGTTGCTGCTTTTAAGATTCTCTCCTTGTCTTTAACTTTCGACAATTTAATTATAATATGTCTTGGTATGGGTTTTTTTTTTTTTTTTTGATTCATCTCTTTTGGAACTCTCTGGCTTCCTAGATCTGAATATGTCTTTCTTTCACCAGGTTAGGGAGGTTTTCAGCCATTATTTCTTCAGATAAGCTTTCTGCCCCTTTCTCTCTCTCTTCTCCTTCTAGGACCCCTAGATATGAATGTTGGCTTGCTTGATGATGCTCTATAAGTCCCTTAAGCTATCTTCCTTCTTTTTCATTCTTTTTTTCTTTTTGCTCCTCTGACTGGATGAATTCCACTGCCCTGTCTTCAGGTTCACTGATCCTTTCTTCCACTTCATATAGTTGAACTTCTACTAGTGTTGAACCTCTCTATTGAATTTTTTAGTTCAGTTATTGTATTCTTCAGCTCTATTATTTGTTTAGTACTTTTTAATAATTTCTGTCTCTTTGCTGAAATTCTCGCTTTGTTCATGCTTTATTCTTCTGACTTCAGTGAGCATCTTTATGACTATTATTTTGAACTCTTTATCAGGTACATCACTTATCTCCATTCCATTAAGGTCTTTTCCCAAGGTTTTATCTTGTTCTTTTGTTTGGAACATATTCCTTTATTTCTTCATTTTCCTTGATTCTCTGTGTTGGTTTCTGTACATTGGATAAACAGCCACCTCTCCCAGTCTTGAAGGAGTGGTCTTGTGTAGGAGATGAACATTATCCTTCAGCCTAGGCTAGCTCTTGGTTGTCTCCCAAACATTTGTGATTGACCAAGCGGGCTTCTCTGTTCTTACTGTCTCCCAGTAGTTGAGGGTGTGCCAAGACCTGTTTCAGTGTGATTTTTTCCCCTCATTTTCCCAGTGTGTAGGAGTCACTCAGC